AGACTAGCCTGAGCAACATGGCGAGACCTTGTCTCTACAATTAGTTAAAAAAATTAGCTGGGTGTGGTAGCACACATCTGTGGGGCTCACTACTTGGGAGGCTGAGGTGAAAGGATCACTTGAGCTGGGGTTGTCAAGGCTGCAGTGAGCTATGATGGCATCACTGCACACCAGCCTGGGCGACGTGAGACCCTATCTCAAAAAACAACCAAAAAGAAAAAAAGTGGCATGTAGAAAACAAGTAGCAAAATGGTCGGTGTACATGAACTCCCAACATGCTGAGCCTGGTTGGTTGACACGTTAAATGTCTGGGCAATCGAGCAAGACAGCCATTGATCGCCCCATTCTACACCCACAGAAGCAGCACCAGACAGAAGATGATGATATCTGCACCTGGGTCACATAGCTGACTTGTGGCAGAAGTGGCAGCTCAATTGCTGGCTGTTAGCTATGCCTTTTGTTAGTGGCTGAACACCATACTGCCTTAATGCCCTCAAGGTTTTATTTGTCTAGTTTGTAGTTATTGCACAGGAGGCCAAGTCTTTCTTTTCTTTTCTTTTGAGACAGAGTCTTGCTTTGTTACCTAGGCTGGAGTGCCGTGGTATGATCTTGGCTCACTGCAACCTTTGCCTTCTGGGTTCAAGCAAGTCTCTGCCTCAGCCTCCCAAGTAGCTGGGATTACAGGTATCTGCCACCATGCCCAGCTAATTTTTTTTGCATTTTTAGTAGAGATGGGTTCCACCTTCTTGGCCAGGTTGGTTTTGAACTCCTGACGTTGTGATCCACCCACCTTGGCCTCCCATGTTTCATCATGTTGGCCAGGCTGGTCTCGAGGCATAAGGCACTGTGCCCAGCCTTTTTTTTTTTAAGAGTCTGGCTCTGTCACCCAGGCTGGAGTGCAGTGACATAATCTCGGCTCACTGCAACCTCAGCCTTCCAGGTTCAAGTGATTCTCCTGCCTCAGCCTCCGGAGTAGCTGAGATTACAGGTGCCCACCACCACATCCAGCTAACTTTTGTATTTTAAGTAGAGGCAGGTTTAACAATGTTGGCTAGACTGGTCTTGAACTCCTGACTTCAGGTGATCCAGCCACTTCCCCAAGTGCTGGGATTACAGGTGTGAGCCACTATGCCCACTACACCCTGCATGTTTTTTGTTTTTTTTTTGAGATAGAGTTTTGCTCTTGTCCACCCAGGCCATAGTGCAATTGCACAATCTCAGCTCACTGCAACCTCTGCCTCCCAGGTTCAAGAGATTTTCCTGCCTTAGCCTCCCAAGTAGCTGGCATTACAGGCATGCACCACCACACCCGGCTAATTTTGTATTTTTGGTAGAGAAGGGGTTTCACAATGTTGGCCAGGCTGGTCTTGAATTCCTGACCTCAGGTGATCCACCCACCTCAGCCTCCCAAAGTGCAGGTTTTTTTTGGGGGGGGTCTCACTCTATCACCCAGGCTAGAGTGCAGTGGTACAATCTTGGCTCACTGCAATCTCCCCTTCCCAGGTTCAAGTGATTGTCTTGCCACAGCCTCCCAAGTAGCTGGGATGACAGCAGGTGGTGCAAGCCACCACACCCAGCTAATTTTTTGTATTTTTAATAGAGCGGATGTTTCATGTTGGCCAGGCTGGTCTTGAACTCCTGGTCTCATGTAATCTGTCGGCCTCAGCTTCCCAGAGTGCTGGGATTACAGGTGTGAGTCACCATGCCTGGGCATGGAGGTCAAGTCTTGATCTGGGCCCACGTGCCATGGGGTACACTTGTTCCTCTCCCTCATGGAAACAATTCGTTCCTGTCATTCTCAAAGCACTCTTCATCCTTCACTGACTTCACCTTTTTTCAATCAAAAAATTAACTTAGAAAGGATCTGACATTTAGAATCAGGGAGGAACACCCATTATTGAACACCCTCCTTGGGTGTGGCATTTTCAGGAACCTACTTATCTAGTGCAGCCAGCTATCGAAAAACTAGAGAAGAAACAACCTGGGTTATATAACCCACAGTTGAGATTCCAGCACTTTGGGAGGGTAGCCAAGCCTGAGAATCCCCAAGAAGCCAGGGATTCTTGGGCTTGGCTACCCTCCTTCAACTATTTCCCAAACAGCAAGTAACATGACCTTGACTTGTGCCCATAAAAAGAGCTGGTGAGACCTTCGGGGGTCCATGGTGCAGTGAACCCCTAGGGACTTCTTGTGCCAGTCTGCATTTGAGGCTGAAATTCTTACCTACCAGCTTCATGACTTCAATGAGGTGACTTTTCCAAGTCTTGCTTTTCCCATCTACAAAGTGAGTGCAGGCCTGGGAGCGGTGGCTACTTGGGAGGCCAAGGCGGGTTAATCACTTGAGCTCAGGAGTTCAAGATCAGCCTGGCCGACATGGTGAGACCCCTGTGTCTCCTAAACATATAAAAATTAGCTGGGTGTGGTGGCTCCTGTGCCTGTAATCACAGCTACTCAGGAGGTTGAGGCACAAGAATTGCTTAAACCCTGGAGGCAGAGGTTGCAGTGAGCTGAGATTGTACCACTGCTCTCTAGGCTGGGCAACAGAGCAAGAGTTTATCTCTAAATAAATAAATAAATAAATAAAAGAAAATAAGAATAGCTGGGAGCCGTAGTTCATACCTGTAATGTAGCGCAAGCCTTCAATCCCATCACTTTGGGAGGCTGAGGCAGGGGATCACAAGGTCAGAAGTTCGAGACCAGCCTGGCCAACATAATGAAACCCCATCTCTACTAAAAATACAAAAATATTTAGCTGGGTATGGTGGCATGCACCTGTAATCCCAGCTACTTGGGAGGCTGAGGCAAGGAGAATCGCTTGAACCTGGGAAGCTGAGGTTGCAGTGAGCCGAGATCATGCCACTGCACTCCAGCCTGGGCGACAGGAGACTCCATCTCAAAATCATAATAATAATAATAAAGTGAGTGCAGGCAGTACAGCTCCTCCACCTCCTAGAGGCTGCGTGTAGGGAGATGGTACCTGGACACCCAGCACTCAATAGATGCAGGTCACAGAGTGGGAGAAAGCAGTAACTAAGATTTATTGAGCACTTACCATGGGCCTGGCACTTACCATCAATTCTGCAGGGTCCAGCCCTGCAGGGTCTACTGGGTATTCTTTTGTGTGCTGAGACGATAGATCGCAGGAAAGACACAAGACCTAGAGACAAGAGAAGAATTCAGCGGGGTTGGGGGACAACTACTACCAAGGCGCGGAGTCCAGTAGTGGCCCCTAATGCCTGGACCCGCTGATATTTATTGTATACAAGGCATGGGGGATGGGCAAGCAGAGTACATCATTTGACATGATTGGTAGGGTCAAGCAAATCACGTGCTTACAGTACAGGGAGCCCCTCCCTTTCAGGTAGCCACTGCAAGGAGGGGAGGCACACACCACAGCATCTTTCTATGCACTTATCAGAAAGATCAAAAGCTTTTAGGATTCCTCTGTTCTTCTCGCAACTTCTAAGAACTTAAAAAGAGCACGAGGTGGCAAAGTGGAACATCAAAGTGGACAAGGATGGTGACCATCAGAGCACAGCACCACAGAGAGGCATTTAAGCCTCTGGATGTTTGCGGCCAGCCAGGCTAATGTCAGGCCTTCTTCAAGAGTAGGGCAGACTGTTCTCTGAATTCCTCCAGTGAAAAGGGAAACTCCCCTTCACGGCCGGCTAAGTAACGGGCGTCTTCCCAGGCGCTGGCCCTACCTCAAGGCTCTCACCTTCGCCTCCCGATCACTTCCCACAATGTCCCTTCAGTTCCTAATTATATTTCACCGGATTATGTCTATACTATACAACTAAGATGATTCTACAGTATAATACTAAGGCAAAGATTAATAATAGAGAATAATGATTTAATAAGATTGATTATATAATTATGCGATTGTTTCTAAATCTATTTGCTGTCATTGCTATAACTAAGTAATCAGGAAATATATCATTGCTATACTAAGCAATCAGTAAATATATCTGGCATCACTGCTATATCTAAGTACTCATTTATTATACCGGGACGGATTGCCTTCAGTCTCTTGCCTTGGCACCTGGGAAACTTTCTTCCCACACAATTCACTCATTTTTAAAAAATGGAATATTTGTTTAGAGACAGGGTCTTGCTCTGTGGACTAGATTGGAGTGCAGTGGCTAGATCATGGCTCACTGCAGCCTCAAACTCCTGGGCTCAAGCAGTCCTCCCGCCTCAGTCCCGCCAAGTGCTGAGACTGGGGCTGAGCAATGCCTCTTGAACCCTCAGAACAAACCTGTTAGAGGTCCCTCTCACTCTGTTACCCAGGCTGGAGTACACGGCGTGATCTCGGTTCACACGAACTCCGCCTCCCGGGTTCAAGCAATTTTCCTGCCTCAGCCTCCCAAGTAGCTGGGATTACAGGCACACACTACCAAGCCTCGCTAATTTTTGTATTTTTAGTAGAGACCGGGTTTTGCCCCGTTGGCCAGGCTGATCTCGAACTCCTGAGCTCAAGTCATCTGCCCGCCTCGGCCTCCCAAAATGCTGGGATCACAGGATGGAGCCGCCGGGCTCGGCCGTGTTTTCTCTTTTTTTCCCTCAGTTAAGCGGGGATAAAAAACGGCTCGGGAGGCTGAAGCAGGAGAATCGCTTGAACCAGGGAGTCGGAGGCTGCAGTAAGCCGAGAACGCGCCACTGCACTCCAGTCCGGCGACAGAGCGAGACTCCGTATCAAAAAAAAAAAAAAAAAAAAATGGCGCCTACGTGCTTCGGGGCCTGTAGTGAGAACGGTGGACACGACTGCAGTTGTTACGCCTCCTAAAATCCAGAGCGGCTAGCGGAGACTACGGTGGTGTCAAGGTTCACTCGCCCCCAGGGACTTCACACGCGCCCCGCGACTGCGCCTGCACATACTCCGCGGGCGTGGGCGGGACCTGTGGGACGTAGGCGTGCTGAGGGCGGGGCAAGAGTCCGCCTGTTAACATAGGGTGAGGGGCGTGGCCCGTTGGGGCGGGGCTTTGGGGCAGTGTCGACCTTCGCGCCGACTCCATGAGCGGTGGGCGGAGCAGCGTGCGCTGGGGTGTTCCCTGGGGCTGCCCCTCGGCGGCGGCGCGGCTGACGTGGAGCGTCCGGGTTAGCGGGCGCGGCGAAGCTGCGGGATTGGGGAGCGACTGGCCGGGCCGGGCCTTCGGGCCCGAGGCGGCGGCGGCGGCGGCGGTATAAAGCCAGGGACTGGGAGCATGTAATGTCGGAATGCCGAGGCCGCGGCGGCGGCAGCAGCAGCAGCGAGGACGCCGAGGACGAGGGTGGGGGCGGCGGCGGCCCCGCGGGCTCCGACTGCCTCAGCCCGAGCCCGGCCCCGGCCACAGCGTCCTCGGCTGGCCGGCTCCGTCACGGGCTGCGCGGCGTCTCCCTCATGGCGTGCCGGCGGCCAGAGCTGCTCTGCGGGGCCGTGGCGCTCGGCTGCGCGCTCCTCCTCGCGCTCAAGTTCACCTGCAGGTGAGGCGGCCCGGAGCCCGGGGCCCCGGCGCGACGCTCCCCCGCTCTGCCGCCTGGAGCCTTCAGGGCCGGGTGGCAGCGGCCTCCGCCGGGGAAGTCGTGCCTGACCTTGCCCGGGACGGCTGACCCCTTCCGGAGCCTCCGGCCGCGGCCTCCCACCTTCCCTTCGTCCCCGCCGGCCCGCGGACATAATGGCGAGGCTTCCGGGTGCAGCCTCGTGCCGCATCGTCCCACTTTTGTTCCGGGGGAGGCGGATCAGGGGTGCTCCTGACCTGTTGCAGTCTCTAGGTGGGGACTTGTCACTTGTTTTCTGGCTGTAGGACCCTCATCTCTCACCGATTTCCTTCCCCTTAAGCTTCCCGTACAGTGATCCACAATTGAGAATTCCCGCACTCATTGATCTAATGATTATTATTTTTTTGAGACGGAGTCCCGCTTTGTCGCCCATGCTGGAGTGCAGTGGCACAATCTCGGCTCACCTCAACCTCCACCCGGGTTCAAGGGATTGTCCTACCTCAGCCTTCCGAGTAGCTGGGATTACAGGCAGTCGCCACCATGCCCGGCTAATTTTTGTGTATTTTGTAGAGACGGGGTTTCACCATGTTGGCCAAGCTGGTCTGGAACTCCTGAGCTCATGTGATCCATCTGCATAGGCCTCCCACAGTGGTGAAATTACAGGCATGAGCCACCGCGCCCAGCCTCATCTAACGATTATTCATCTGTACCTACTATGTGCTGGACACTCATCCAGGTGAACTCCTTGTTTCCTTGAGTGACTAGGACAGTGAACAAGTAAACATAATAAATTTTTTTTAAAGCTTCAGTTCTAGGCAGGGCATAGAAGCATTGGCGGTGAGGAAAGACTTCCTAAGGAAGTGACATCTGAAGCTCGTACAAAAAGGAGAAGGGACGAGCACTGGGAAGATCTAGTGGGGAGCGTGTCCAAGGTAGAGCGAACAGCAAATACAGAGGTTCTGAGGCTGGACGAGCTTGGTGTTTCCCTTCAGTCGATAAAAAGGCCTGACGGTAGGCTGGGGTATAGGGAGTAAGAAAAGGAAAGCTCATGTCTGTCTTTTCAGGAATATCCACACATACAAAATTTGCTCTGTATTTCAGGTGTCATTCTCGGCTCCCATGTCCACAGTGGATCTTCTGGGATTCCTGTTTTATAAGATCTGTATTGCTACTATGATATCTGTGATTTCACTTCGCAACATTTTTGCGTTTATTTAGCACGATATGTGGCCGATTGTCAAACGGGTATCAAACGATTGGGGATTTTAGTGGAAAGATAAATTATGATAACTCAGCATTTTCTGTATGCCAGGTACTGTTCTATCAGCAGGGTTTCTCAGTCTTGGCACTGTTGATATTTTGGGTCAGATAATTCTAAGTTGTGGGGGCTGCCCTGTGCACTGTAGGGTGTTTAGCAGCATCCCTGGCCTCTACCCACTAGATACAGGAAGATACCCCACAAGATGTAACAGCCCATAATGGCTTCAGCCATTGTTAGATGTCCCTTGGGAGCAAAATTGTCTGCTTGGGAACCACTGTTTACATAAGTGCGTTTATTCATTTAATACATAGTTGAGAGCCTAGTATGGGTGTTATTTAAATCTCACAATCCCCATTAAAGTTTGAATATACTGTTATCTTTCCCAGTATACAGATGACGGAGTCCAGCCTTGGTAATGTTACAGAACTTGCCCCAAATCACAGCCACCTGTTAAGTGGCTGAGCTGGAATTTGAATCCTTTACTGTCAGGACCTCCTAGATTCTTTTTTTTTTTCTCCCTCCCTCCTCGAGATTCTTTTTTTTTTTTTTGAGAAGGAGTCTCACTCTTTTGCCCAGGCTAGAGTGCAGTGGCGTGACCTCTGCTCGCTGCAATCTCTTCCTCCCGGCTTCAAGCAAGCGATTCTCCTGCCTTAGCTTCTGGAGTAGCTGGGGTTACAGGCACACACCACCATGCCTGGCTAATTTTTTGTATTTTTAGTAGAGATGGGGTTTCACCAAGTTGGCCAGGATGGTCTTGATCTCCTGACCTCATGATCTGCCCTCCTTGGCCTCCCAAAGTGCTGGGACTACAGGTGTGAGCCACCGCCCGGTTGAGGACCGCCTAGATTCTTAACCTTGCATTTTATTGTTGTCTCTCACAAGGACAGTATACAAAGTATTTCACGAGGTAGAGTGTTAGGAGGTGACATTTGGGTTCAAATTAGGAAGAGAGGTTTCCCCCTCCAGGGATGTGGAGTTAATTTTCAAGGGTTTGTTAAACTGCAGAAATAATGGTTAATGTTGGTTCTGAGACAGCATGGCTTAATTGATATAAAAGTCCTTTGAGGCCTGTCGTGGTGGCTCACGCCTATAATCCCAGCACTTTGGGAGGCCGAGGTGGGTGGATCATGACGTCAGGGGATTGAGACCATCCTGGCCAACATGGTGAAACCTCGTCTCTAGTAAAATACAGAAAATTAGTCAGTTGCCTGTAGTCCCAGCTACTCAGGAGGCTGAGGCAGGGGAATCGCTTGAACTGGGGTGGCAGAGGATGCGGTGAGCTGAGATTGTCCTACTGCACTCCAGCCTGGGTGGCAGAGCAAGACTCTGTCTCAAAAAAAAAAAAAGAAGAAGAAGAAGTCCCTTGAGATCAGAAGGAAGGAAGAGAATAAATCCAGTTACTGGAGTAGGCAGAATGAGATCCTTGCTTCAGGCAGGGAGAGTGAATCAGTAAATGGCTGCTGCTTCATCTCCTTTCTGTGTCACTGACAAATTTGACAGTCTTTTAATAGACTCATTAATTTCTTTAGGGTCATCTTTGAATAGTGTCAAGATAATATACTATTGCTGTAAAACTGGCTAACATTTCTAGTCCCCTTTTCCTCTTTAACTTTTATTTTTATTTTGAGACGGAATTTCGCTGTTGTTACCCAGGCTGGAGGGCAATGGCGCGATCCCGGCTCACCGCAACCTCTGCTTCCTGGGTTCAAGCAATTCTCCTGCCTCAGCCTCCTGAGTAGCTGGGACTACAGGCACGTGCCACCATGCCCAGCTAATTTTTGTATTTTTAGTACAGACCGGGTTTCACCATGTTGACCAGGATGGTCTCGATCTTTTGACCTCGTGATCCACCTGCCTCGGCCTCCCAAAGTGCTGGGATTATAGGCGTGAGCCACTGCGCCCAGCTCCACATCTCTTTAACTTTTAAGATCTTTGCTTTAATAAGGAGATAGGCTTAAGGGAGAATAGGATTTTTTTTTTTTTTTTGAGACGGAGTCTCAATCTTTTGCCCAGGCTGGAATGCAATGGCTGTATCTTGGCTCAGCCTCCGCCTCCTGGGTTCAGGCAGTTCTCGTGCCTCAGCCTCCCAAGTAGGTGGGTTTACATGTGCACGCCACCACACCCAGCTAATTTTTGTATTTTTAGTAGACTGTGTTTCACCATATTGGCCAAGATAGTCTCAATCTCTTGACCTCGTGATCCACCCACCTCGGCCTCCCATAGTGCTGGGATTTCGATTGACTGTGTACTTTATCTGGCTCATTTAGGAATGCTTCTGAACATGCAGAGCAAAAATACTGAGTTGCTCTTTATCCTTTCTTTGGCTGTCAGACCTACATTTTTTCCCTCATATTGCATTATTTGATGCTCACATTGCAGTTTTTTTTTCTCTGGAGATGGAGTTTTGCTGTTGTTTCCCAGGATGGAGTACAATGGCATAATGTCAGCCCACTGCAACCTTCACCTCCTGGGTTCAAGAGATTCTCCTGCCTCAGCCTCCCAAGTAGCTGGGATTACAGGTGTGCACCACCATGCCTGGCTAATTTTGTATTTTTAGTAGAGATGAGGTTTCGCTATGTTGGCCAGGCTGGTCTTGAACTCCTGACCTGAGGTGATCCACCCACCTCAGCCTCACAAAGTGCTGGGATTATAGGCATCAGCCACCATGCTCGGCCATATGCAATTTGAATGGCAGAAAAAATACTCCAAAGAGAAGAATTTTGGATCTCTTGAAATCGTCTCATTGTTTTTTTTTTTGCTTCAGTGCCGTTCCCACCTCTTACATGACTATCTTGTCATTCAGGTCTCAGAGCTTAAATTATAGCACCTCCCAAACCACCATCCCATCAGAGGAGCTACCATGTCCTTCTGTACATCAGCTTTTTAAATTTTCCACATAGCAGTGAGCATTTTCTATATTTTTCTTGTTTACACATTTGATGGTTTTCCTGTCTTCCTCCCCTAGAAAGTGAGCTCCTCAGCAACACACTGCTGCAGCCTAAGTACCTGTGCCAGAAGCACAGTAACAGCTGCTCAGTAGAGTTTTTGAATAATTGAGTAAGTAGTTGAGTTTTTCAGGTTATGAAGGCATTCTGTGTAGACTGAAACCTCTCTGATTGAAGGTTAAAATACTAGTTTGAGTGAATAAATAGGTGACTTGCTTCATTGAATACTTCTGCCTGTTTGGGAATTTCGTATAAGTGCATGCATAGTACATAGTGCATGTACTCTTTAGCGCCTTTTTTCACTCAGCATAATTATTTTGAGACTCATCCAAATTATAGCATGTATGAGTAGGTTTTGTTTTTTGTTTATATTGTAGAGTAACATTTAAGTAAACTGGGGTAAGCACACCCCAGTTTATCATGTAACCTCATGAGTCATGCCAGCTTTCTTACACTGTTTACATAGCTTTTCTTTTCCCATCCTTATGCCTTTATCCTCCGTCTTTATATTTAAAGTGTGTCTCATTTAGATAGTGCATAATTGGGTCTTGCTTTATCTTGTCTGGCTGTCTGTTCCTCCTAATTGGGTTGCTTCCTCTTTTTATTTTTAATGTAATTGTTGATGTAATTTGGTTTGAGTCAACCTTTTGCTCTTTGTTTTCCATTTTTACCTTCTGGGTTTTGTTCTTTTCTTCTTTCTGCACTTTCTTTTTTTTGAGATGGAGTTTTGTTCTCATCTCCCAGGCTGGAGTGCAGTGGTGTGATCTTGGCTCACTGCAACCTCTGCCTCCCAGGTTCAAGCAATTCTTGTGTCTCAGACTCCCGAATACAAATGTGAGCCACAGCGCCTTTACTTTCTTTGGGGCTAATCTAATTGTTTTTTTAGGTTTCCATGTTTATATATTCTGTTTGTATATTAGCAAACAAGCTATAATGGTTTTATGGTATGCAAGTGCAGATACATGGGTAGCTCACGGTGTTTATTAGGGCCCTTTTACATGGTGAGATGCAGGCTCTATCTAGACCTTTATGTCTTTTTTTTTTTGAGACAGTCTCACTCTGTCACCCAGGCTGGAGTGCAGTGGTGCATTCTTGGCTCCCTGCAACCTCTGCCTCCTGGATTCAAGCGATTCTCCTGCCTCAGCCTCCTGAATACCTGGGACTACAGGTGTGCCATGATGCCCAGCTAATTTTTGTAATTTTAGTAGAGACAGGGTTTCACCATGTTGGTCAGGCTGGTCTCAAACAGTTGACATCATGTTTTACCCACCTTGTCCTCCCAAAGTGCAGAGATTACAGGTGTAAAGCACTGTGCCCGGCTAGACCTTTATGTCTTGATGAGGAAAGTAGTGGCAGATCCGTTACTTCTGACCACCTGTCAGTGTTGGTTTCTTTTTCCTCCTGATTTCTTTCTTCTGGGAAGCTCAAGTGTTCAGAAAGCCCGTTTTTTGGTTAAATAGGCTGTTGCTTTGTTACTCATCTTCATTAGTTTTAGGATTATGATACATATATCTGGAGAAATGTATATTATTATTTAATTGTTACTGTTACCTGAATGCCCTGGATAAGTATAAGACAACTCAAGCTAATAAGCTTAAAAGTTGAGTTGATTGTAAATATCTCCCATAGAAATCTTTTATTTATTTATTTATTTTTTTTTTTGAGATGGAGTTTCGCTTTGTTACCCAGACTGGAGTGCAATGGCACGATCTCGGCTCACAGCAACCTCTACCTCCTGGGTTCAAGCAATTCTCCTGCCTCAGCCTCCCGAGTAGCTGGGACTACAGAATAGCACCACCATGCCCAGCTAATTTTTGTATTTTTAGTAGAGACCACCTTGTTGACCAGGATGGTCTCGATCTCTTCACCTCGTGATCCACCCACCTCGGCCTCCCAAAGTGCTGGGATTATAGGCGTGAGCCACCAAGCCTGGCCAGAAATCTTATTAGGGATAGTGTACATGTTCCCTCACTGTAATTCTGAGCTTGTATCCTGGTGGGTCTAAAGCCCTGGAGACAAGTGGCTTCTGTGGAGAACCAGGCTGCAGAAAAAGGAGAATGAAATCTTTGTTGTTGGGGGCAGGAATATACATTATTCAGAGACATCCTTCTGCTCTCCACTGCCCTCCCAGCCTACACCTAGGGAACCAGAATCTGAGAGAATTGTTTCCGGTGTATTATTCACGTCTTGCATTTGCTCAGCTAGAATTTGCCTTTCTAGGGCAGTGATTTTGGGACTCCCCATTTTCTTATTCAAAAGAGGACTTTTATTTTAAGCTTCATTCTACTTCCACAGAGCTACTTTTAGAAGAAGATAAACTAAGCAATCTTTTTTGTGTTTGCTCTTTTTTAGTCGAGCAAAAGATGTGATAATACCAGCAAAACCACCTGTCAGCTTTTTCTCCCCGAGGTCTCCAGTCCTTGACCTCTTCCAGGGGCAGCTGGACTATGCAGAGCATGTTCGCCGGGATTCAGAGGTGGTACTGCTGTTCTTCTATGCCCCCTGGTGTGGGCAGTCCATCGCCACCAGGGCAGAAATTGAGCAAGCAGCAAGTCGGCTTTCAGACCAGGTAATGCTGACATTCAGCCTAAGAATCAAATGACTGTCAGTCCTTTGTGTAGGGCAGGATGTCCCCACAGAGACACCTTGCCCAACAGTCAGATATTGCTAAGGTAAACTCCAGGAGTCCTTTCTAAATCACAGCGTCTTCTATAAAGCAACAGAAAGGATTTCCAGTTGTGGTGATTATAGTCACAGGCAAGTGTGGGAACAGATTCTACACCTCATAACACCAGCCAGTGCTCATCCTGGGGTGCTATACTGTTTGGTTTCAGCATTGAAAAAGGTAGAGGGACTAAAAATTCTAGTTCTTGCATATCCATTTGATACTTGCTGGTTAGGTATTTTAGGGAAGAAAATTTATGTATGATATGACTGCCTTGTAACAAGGCTGACCTTTTAAATATATGGACCAGAACTATATTCAACAGATAAGGAATGCCACCTTTGGGCTAGGTAAGAAGGAAATTATACACAGAAAAATCACCTGTTACGGCAGTGGTTTTTAGCCCAGTGGATCCCAGTTGCGCTTTTGAAAATAAGTACTGTATGATGTCCCCTTTTCTTCCTGAAAAATAATTCAAGATGATAAAATTTTCCTATACATGTAATTTGAAAATAATCTAATGCACTGATTGTAATATAAAGGTGGGGGGGAAGAAAGTAATTTGTAACTAAATGATATTTATTTTAGTATGTAAGTGCACACTCAGAACAGGTCCAGATACCTTTATGTAGAGCTACTGTGTAGACTGATAGAGGTATGATATGTTGGTGACTTACATGTCACAGGGACATTGCTCTTAGTAGTTGATTATCCTAAATGGTGAACAGTTCTTGATAAAATCCTGAACCACACAAAGCCCTTTCTGCTCTGTTTACACAGAAATTGCATTCCTGAAAAATTCAGTGAACACAAAAAGGATGCTTTAGATTCACATGGAAAACGCAGCTTGGTTCTGGGCTTGGATAATAACAATTTTTTCCCAACATCAGTGTTTGGCAGGCATTTTGAACTACTCTGGAATGCTGTGGATGACTCTTCCTTGTGCAAAGCCGTTGAGTGTAGCAGGACATCTAACAGGGTCCCCTGCCCTACCTATGCACTGTAGCTTCCCCTAGTCATTGCAGCAAGCAAAAATCATCCCACAGATTTCTATGATGCTCCTGCTCAGAACTGCTGATCTGAAGTAATGTGTGTAGGCAGCTGAGTTCCAGAAGTTCATTTGGAACTCTCAGCTGGTTTTTCTAAGAAACAGTGTTATAAATGGTGGCTAGGCTTTTTAACCATTACATCCCTGAAAGTGGTACCAAGTACTGCTTAAATATAACTTTCCATTCCTAATAATGTTGATTCGGAGAGCAGGATTGGGAGGAAGTGCTGTGGACTCGTGGAATTTATCTATTCCCTATTTATCTTTCCCCGCCCCCAACCCTAAAATGGATAATAGTAACCAAGCTGGCAGATACTTCCAGGGAGGAAACAGGAACTCTCAGGAGTTAGTGGGAGGCAAGTAGTATGTAAGCATAAAAGAAATCACCAGTTTGTCATTTTCTGAGCCTTTTGAATTTAGAGAACAAAGTTCACCTTCTCCATGTTGGGCACAAGAGGGAAGTCTATTGTGTTGTATTAATAAGTGTAAATTAGCTACCTTACTGTCAACCTGAGCAGTATGTCCTTCTGTGTGATGGTATTAGTATAATATTAATAATGGTATTTTGGTGTGCCAGGCCCTGTGCTAATTCGCAACCACTTTGCGAGCTGATGCTGTTAGCCCTGTTTTTCTGAAGCAGGACCTCAGGCTTAAGGGGGTGTAGCAGTTTGTTTACAATTACATAGTGATAAGTGGTGGGGGTTATAGTGTAATCCAGTGACTGCTGCTGCTTTTAAAAAAAAAAAAAAAAATTCAGCTCCTTCCAGATGAGGATCTTATTATTCCATGTACTCAGTAGGGAAAAAAGTAGGTTTATTTTTGGAAACACAACAAAAATTTTTTGAACTGTATTGCATGGTATAAGATTGGTAAACATGGTCCAAGTCCTGGCTGGACATCATCGGTAAGAGTATGTCTTTTTTGTTTTACTGGTAAATGATGACCTTTGAAAACTTGAGACAGTTTTTTTCATACTTTCTGTTTCAGTGAGAGAGGAAGAGTTCCATTTTTAAATTTCATCTTTTAAATCTTGGTAACTTTTCAGTTGTCATTCATAGTCATTTGAAAACCTTTTTTGGCTCTGCAGGTGTTGTTTGTGGCAATTAACTGTTGGTGGAACCAGGGGAAATGCAGAAAACAGAAACACTTCTTTTATTTTCCTGTAATATATCTGTATCATCGGAGGTAAGAACTTTTTAAATAGTGTTTCTCATTGCAGTTGGGTTTGTCAGTTTATAAATGAATTTGCATTTTTTCTGTATTAAAGTATTAGATACTCACTATAGAAAATTCAGATAATACAGATAAGTAAAAAAAAGAGAAAAAACCCTGGATAATCTGCCCCACTTTTTAAAGCTAAACATGGGATTAGGCAGTAATACTGTTTCCTAAACTGCTTTTCTCATTTTTTTGAACATCTTTTCATGTCATTATACGTTTTACAGCATTGTTTTTAAAAGTACCAATTACTTCAATGTATTGCTGTACATTTCAGGTATTTTAAGAGTGTTTTGTAACACAAAAATACACCAAATTTCTTATCCTTTTACCTGAAGGCATAGCAGAGTCCAGAGGGTATCTTACTATCTTTTCTAATGGGAAGAAAATTACTACAGGTACACAGTCCCATGCCCACAATTCTAAAGTCACAAAGGGGGCTGAAAAACTGAAAGAGTCTTATTTTGATTTTCTTTTCTTTTTTTGAGGCAGAGTTTTGTTATTGCCCAGGCTGGAGTGCAGTGGTGCAAACTTGGCTCACTGCAGCCTCCATCTCTAGGTTCTAGCAATTGTCCTGCCTCAGCCTCCCAAGTAGCTGGGATTACAGGTGCCTGCCACTATGCCTAGCTATTTTTTTTGTATTTTTAGTAGAGATGGAGTTTCGCTGTGTTGGCCAGGCTGGTCTCGAACTCCTGACCTCTGGTGACCCACTGACCTCGGCCTCCCGAAGTGCTGAGCCACTGTGCCTGGCCAAGAGTTTTATAAATTTTGTCTCTAGTTGCATTCACGTGGCTTGAGGTAACAAGAGATGATACCTTTGGTCTGTATCCCACTTAAGGTTCCTCTTTAGTCATTTTGCTGCAGAAATAATTTGTGTTTGATTGTGGGGTACAGCCTAGACCCAGCTGTGAATGATAAGTGATGTCTAAAAATCTGACTTGAAGGGTTTTGGAGATAGGAGATAGGACCTTGGACTTTGTTCAATGTGATTGGCTAGAAGTTTGTTGAAGGTAAAATGGGTAAAGGAGATTTGATTAGTAGAGAGGTTTATTTTTTCTCTCTCTCTAAACTTCCTGGGCCATAGTCAATGGGGATTTGTAGCAAACATCAATAAACAATGATTTGTGGGTTCTCTGTCACATTTCATCCCATTTCCGTGTCTGCAACATAAACTGTCATCTTGCACATAGTATGACTCCCAGGAACTATTAGGTAGTATTTGGGCAAAAATACACTTTCCTACCCCATCTCCACCCCCATATTTTCCTCTGATATTAGATGTTTGATTTTAATGTTTATAGTAATAAGCCAGTTTTTGCTTAGGGACCACTAAGACCATTTTCAGATATCTTCCCCACTGTTTGGCCAGTAATTTGGAGGTTCTGCCTTTACATGGAAGGTTCAAGTACAGGTTTTCTCGGATACAGGAGTACTTTCTCAGAGTTACTCTTATCGTTTTAAAGGAAAGCGTAAGGTGGTGTGCTTACTCTGTGCTCTGTAACGGGATGATGAGCTTGCCCTGCCGAGGTCCTTGCATTTCTTTTTGGCTTTGAAAAAGGGCATGGAAACCTAGTATGGGTATAGTTCTTTGGAGCAGATCAGAGGTGAACTGAATGTGATGTGACATTGAAATCTGAAGAGTTTCATGGAATCGAGTATAAATGTCATTTTGGGGTATGTGGGCATACAGTATTGTCATATATATACTATTTGTTTGCTTAGCTTTTGCAGAAAGATTGAAGGGACCTTAGAGGAACTTTAGAAACATGTCTAACCTTCTTATTTTACAGATGAGGAATTTGAGGTTGGTATATACCTTGAAATGCCTGTTTCCACACCCCTGTCTTGGTGTTGTTGGTTTTTACAAGTCACTAGGACCCTTGTATCACCACACCAGGAACACTCAGCAAAGCCTGTGTAACTGAGTGGTTGAGGTTCCAGATTGGTAGCTCCTTTTTACTGAACAAAATAAGTTAGATGTTTTTTTGATTTCTTACTTTAAATTAAAAATTATTGGTGCTTGATGGGGGCTGGTGGTGGTGGTGATAATTTTCAAACTGAACTAATTTGTAGTAAATCTGGATTTCATAGAATTCTTAACTGTCTCCCAGCTGTACATACAGAGAATGCTGTTTTTCACCTTTTCATGCTAATACTCCTTTCACATCATTCTGCAGTGCACATTGAAGAATTGTGTTTATCTCATCATTGTGTGTGTGTGTGTCTGTGTGTGTGAATTCTGTAACCATGTATTAGAGTATTATCACAGCCTTTATAAAATTCTTCACTGTGCTCTACTGTTGCTGTTAACAGTAAGCTTAATGTCAGTTTCTGTGTGGAGAACGGTTATACAGTTGTTGAATTTCACCATAACCCCCCACCCCTGCCACCTACCATCCAGTTATATTTGGGCAGTGTCTGTATTGTCTGAGATTGAAGAGAGGCACGTGAGAATTCCAATTAGCTTAGGAATGGTGATGGTATTACTTAGCAGCACTGAATCAAATTCTGTGTGTCCCCAGGCATGACTGGAGGGGAAAGGAAGAAAGATCATTTATACAGGTCACTGACTTCAGCCCTTCACATAATTTGTTGTTGTAATAAAGCTTCAAATAGGTTTAAGGTTCATTCGTGATCCTTTGTCTGCCTACTACTTTCTAGTGGGTCAAGGGCTAACTGCTCAGGCTGTTCCTTACCTCACAGTGATTAGTAGAAGGAAAGTCTGTTTACATTGAATTCTGTAGCGAAATCCTGGAATCCTTTAGCATGTGGTCAGTTTCCAGGGTTGTCTTTTTGTCTTGTTTTGTTTTTAAAAGAAATATTGTGGGAATTAATTTTTTTTCAGAGACTTAGAATGAATGTTCTTTGTTTGGCAATTCAGTTTGCAGTTGAATTCAAGATCATAGAAGGGCAGGGGCCGCTTGTGCCTGTCCTCACCTAAAATGCTTATTCTGAATTATCTGGTCACCTCCTGAGCTGTGACTTGGTTGGATCCCAAAGCAAGACATTTTCATTTTGTGGTGGTGATGATTTTAGTTATACATTACAGGCTTAATGCATGGTGTATTATTTTTATTTTTATTTTTTGGTACTAGTTTTGGACCAATCGAATACAAAGGCCCCATGAGTGCTGTTTACATTGAGAAGTTTGTCCGCCGGGTGATGAAACCACTTCTCTACATCCCATCTCAATCAGAGTTACTAGATTTTCTCTCAAACTACGAGGTACTTGTCTTTCATATCTCCTCCTCCATACTCAAGGCCTTTTACTGGGTTGTTATAGATTGTTTGTATTAAAGGGGTTTAAGAAAATACCTCCTGAATTGTGGCAATTAAAAGGTCATGTGGTAGATCCGCCCCAGTTAAATGCTTTTTGAGATACTGGTAAGGATAGCTTGTCCAAGGGAGTTTTAAGAGAATAGAATACTTGAAAAATCTTGTCTGTTTTTTGTTAGGGAATTTTCAACAAATGTTCATCTTCCCTCACAGTTAACTTAGAGTAGATGAGAATTAACTTACAATGTATGTGCAGCTGCAGATTTCTAAGAGTATTGTTTGACACTTCTCATAGCGTTGTACTATGAGATACCTGGTTTTTCTTGTCAGTTGTAGCTTGTTTTTTTTTGAAACTGGGCATATGTTCCCTTCTGTATTATGAAGTCTCTAATTATGTCAAGGTCTTATTTACAGAAAGTTTTCTCACTTTCCTAATGCAGCTTCTTCCCTGCTTTCCCATTGCCAACTTCAACCCCTGATAAATTATTTTCATACTATTTTTTTTTTTTGAGGTAGAGTCTTGCTTTGACTCCTAGGCTGGAGTGTGATCTCAGCTCACTGCAACCTCCACCTCTCATGCCTCAGCCACCCAAGTAGTTGGGATTGAGGGCATGTACCACTACACCCAGCTAATTTCTGTATTTTTACAAAGGTTAGCAGATTCCCCAAGTAGCAGTATGAATATCTACTTATTCTGCTTATAGTTATTAGCTATGCGTCAGAGTAAATATTCCTTAACGACATAGATAGCAGATGGACTTCTGTGCACCTTCCAGGCCTGTCCCTTATTTTCCCTGGGCAGGCTGGTGGGTGAGGGCTATATTAGGAGGCAGGGTACTGGGGCCTGATCCCTTTGGCACACCCACTGGGTCTGTGATTTAGGGTGGGTTACTCACTTCCTGGGCATCAGGGGTCTGGGCCAGCGTATCCTTGAGATTCCTTCTAGTGGTAAAGTTGTGATAAGTGGGTTTTGACATGGATTTGCAGTGGGTTACAGCCAGAGCCACTGAAGATGGTACAGCAAAATGATGAAGAATCAGGAGTCAGACAGACCAACTTTTAGCAGTCCTCTGTTTTATTTATTTATTTTGAGACAGAGTCTTGCTCTGTTGCCCAGGCTGGAGTATAGTGGCATGATCTGGGGTCACTGCAACCTCTGCCTCTTGGGTTCAAGTGATTCTTCTGCCTCAGCCTCCCAAGTAGCCAGGATTACAGGCATACACCACTACACCCAGCTAGTTTTTTTTTTGAGACAGAGTCTCACTCTGTTACCTGGGCTGGAGTGCAGTGGCACAATCTCAGCTCACTGTGACCTTCATCTCCTGGGTTCAAGCAGTTCTTCTGCCTCAGTCTCCCAAATAGCTGGGATTACAGGCACATGCCACCATGCCTGGCTAATTTTTTGTATTTTTAGTAGAGATGGGGTTTCACCATGTTGTCCAGGTTGGTCTCGAGCTCCTGACCTCGTGATCCGCCCGCCTTGGCCTCCCAAAGTGCTGGGATTATAGGTGTGAGCCACCGTGCCTGGCAATTTTTGTATTTTTAGTAGAGATGGGATTTCACCATGTTGGCCAGTCTAGATTATTTTATTTAATTCTTTTGAGACAGGGCTTCATTCTTGTCACCCAGGCTGGAGTGCAGTGGGGTGATCTTGGCTCAAGTGATCCTCCTGCCTCCTCAAGCGATTCTCCTGCCTTGTGGGCACTTTGTCACAGGCATGAGCCACCATGCCCAGCCCAGCAGTACTTTAAAAGACTATGCTCCAAGTATTGACGTGGAGTTCACGTTAAACTCACTAATCTGCTGATGACATTACTGCGGATGACATTTAAAACATTACATTAAAGTTTTTTGGCAGCCCACTAAGAGTTATGTACAATGGTGATTAAACTGGACTGCCTTTAAAATGGAAACCACAAGAGTGTCACCAAGATGGAGTCCCTAGATCACTTCTGTCAGCCTTTAAAATGACTTCCTCCCAAAAGCTCTGGCTAGCTATTATCGGGTTAGTATCATCTTTTGCTGGGCTTTTCACTGACATGAGATTGTCTTACTGGCAAGAGATAGATAGTACTTTATTAATTGTGAAACAACTTGCTAGTCAAGCCCAGCATGACACTTGTGAAACCATTTGTCTTGCAAAATATACCAAATAGCCTGGCCTAGAAAATGTGACAGTTTCACACACAGTCTGTAAGAGAACATACAGAATTCTCGATCTGGTAATGAAACCACTGTCATGGTTTTGACGTTTGAATGATTAGGAAAGGTAAAGGAATTTTTGAAGTCTGAAATAGAGTACAATAAGCTTTTGAATACTCTGCTAAGTTAGGGTTTCCCAACCTTAGCACAGTTGACATGGGAGGTCAGATAATTCTGTGTTTTGGGGGGCTGTTCTGTGCTTTGCAGGATATTTAGCAGTATCCCTGGCCTATACCCACTAGATGTTGGTAGGACCCCATTCTCTCCTCAGTTGTGACAACCAAAAATATCTGCAGACCTTGCCAAATACCCCTTAGGGGGCAAAATTCCTCCGGTTAAGAACTACTGCTCTGAATAATTGAGTTTTCTCAATTAAGGTCTTAAGAGGAAAAGCACATCTTTTTTCATGTAGCTCTCAGAAGGCCTTAATCTAATAGTTCAAAGTTTATGTGCTTATAATGGTGGCAGTAGAGAGATGAAAATTAAACAGTGCCTTGACTACAGAATGCTAGAAAATTATTTGGGGGGAATTCTAGCTAGGGGTGAGTTAGATTGTCATCATTAGAGCTGTCTCTGATACTCAGCATTTTACTCAAACTCCTTATTTTTTCTAAAAAAGCAAACCCTACATAACTTTAAATATGTGAAGGAGCTTGCTAAAGATACCTTACTATGAAAGATACTTGTTTTGATCAAGAGCCTTATCTCAGTTTATATTTTTTATTAATATGGATTTCAGTATCAAGTGTGTTTAAATTTAAGTGTGTCAAAATTGGGTCAAAATAATGAATATTTTCATGGCACTTCTGAGGTATGACATAATGGCAGTTTTTTTTTTTTTTTTTTTTTGCATGACTTAATGTCTGTAGATGTGTTTGTAACATCTTGTTAGGAGTGTGTGTGATAATTTCCCCCTTGCTTAAAAAAAATTTTCTTTGTGTAGGATCTGGATTTTAAGGAAGGACCAAAAAAAAAAAAAAAAAAAAGAAAACCTATTGATTAATTATAAATTTGGCTCTAATCCAGACATTTGTGAGCATTTTGGGCCATTATGAAATTGTATAGTTAGCATTCATTACCTGGGAAGTGAGGATGTCCTGAAATAAGTAATGTTTTCTACTGACATAAACTCTTTTTGAGACAGAGTCTTGCTCTGTTTCCCAGGCTGGAGTGTGCGATCTCAGCTCTTTGCAACCTCCAACTCCTGGGTTTAAGCAATTCTTGTGCCTCAGCCTCTTGAGTAGCTGGGAATACAGTTATGTGCCACCACACCTGGCTGTTTTTTGTATTTTTAGTAGAGACAAAGTTTCACCTTGTTGACCAGGCCGGTCTTGAACTCCTAGCCTCAAGCAGTCTGCTTGCCTCAGCCTCCCAAAATGCTGGGATTACAGGTGTGAACCACTGTGTCTGGTTGATATAAGCTTTTATTATATGTATATGAAACTCTATTCATATATGCTTATTCTATTGTTATGAAAAGGAATGTTGTAGTTTCATAATTGGTTTTAATTTTTATAAGTCCTATAGTTGAATCCTTTCAAAGGCCCATTCAGATGATTTGATACTGAATTACTTAGAAGAGTGGAAGTTTTTTAACCAATGGAAAATATTTTATTTGGCTTAGATATCTCAAACTAACAATATCAGATTGCTTATCATTAACCATGGTGTATGTTTGTAAAATATGACTCCAAGAGGCCCAGTGAGGTGCCTCACACCTGTAATCCTGGTACTTTCAGAGGCCAAGGTGGAAGGATTGCTTGAAGCCAGGAATCCAACACCAGCCTGGGCAACAAAATGAGACCCTGTCTCCATAACAAAATGTGAAAAATTAGCCAGGTGTGGTGGCACATGCCTGTAGTCCCAGCTGTTTGGGAGGCTGAAGCTGGAGGATATGCTTGAGTCCAGGAGTTTGGGGTTACAGTGAGCTATGATGGCACCACTGCACTCCAGCCTGGGCGACAGAGTGAGACCCTGTCTCAAGACAAGACAAAGAAAAGACTGAGCCCAAAAACAATTTCTGGGACAACAGTTTTGCCTTTACTTAAAACATCACAGAAAGACATTAAAGGGTGAATACTAAAAATTCTTAACTTTGTAAACTGAAATACTTTAGTCGTTATCAGCAAAGAAGTGCGTACATGATCAGGCGCAGTGGCTCAGGCCTGTAATCCCAGCTCTTTGGGAGGCTGAAGTGGGCGGATCATGAGGTCAAGAGATCGAGACCATCCTAGCCAACATGGTGAAATCTTGTCTCTACTAAAAATAGAAAAATTACCTGGGCATGTTGGCACACGCCTCTAGTACCAGCTACTCAGGAGGCTGAGGTAGGAGAATGGCTTGAACCCAGGAGGCGGAGGTTGCAGTGAGCTGAGATTGGGCCACTGCACTCCAGCCTGGGGGACAGAGCAAGATTCTGTCTCAAAAAAAAAAAAGGAAATAATGCATAAACTGCATTGTCAAGTGCTCTTTAGTTTTCAAGTGCTTATTTCTGATGTTTCTAACAGCCATATGAGGTAGATGGAAATTGTAGATCCTTCGAACAGATTGAGAGGCTAAGGTACAGGGAGGCTGTGATTTACCTCAGTGGAGGCTGGACGATTGCCCTGCCTTGTTGTTCCACAAATTCTTGTCTATCATGTTTTTCCACAAAAAACTATGTAAGGTTCCGGAGTGGAAACTTTAATATCTATCTAGAGGTTACAACTTCAAATACTTAACTATTTAATGTCATTTTTTGAACCTTT